TAGTGGTTTATATGGTTACATTTAACAAGGTGCAATTAACTTGGCGGCCTGTTTCCTTGTTTTCCTGAACCCTCCCATGGGGGCTCTGAACTGAGCAGTGAGGCATTTTATTGTACTGTAATTGTGGATTTTATAATGTCCAGTGAAAACACTGCCCGTATCAACACATTAGTTATCCCTTTTTATAAATCTAATGTTTTTTTAGTCACCTGGGATTGCCTTCTTTGGGATTTTGGGTTTTGGTTTGGGGTTTTTTTTGATAGCAGGTGTTTTTAATCAGTTCTGGAAGGGCAGCATTATCTGAAGGCCAGAGCAGAGGGATAGACATCAAAGGACAAAGACTAAGGTGTAAGTCTACTTCTAACCAGATGTATAAAATAGGAACCTACTGTTACAATCTTAAATCCACACAGTAATATTTCCAAGTGCTAACGTTGAGCCCTGCCTCAGTTACCAGCTGCTGACATTGACCACAATGATTTTTATTTTGCTTTCATAAAATAGTTTAATCAGGAATAATAAGAATTTAATAGAAATTCAAGTTATTAGTAACTAATACAGGGATTATAGCATATGTCAGTGAAATCTGTGAATTCCCCAAAAGTGGAAATAACATTCTCCAAAAACTAGTGCCTTTCTGTTCCATAGCTCATTGGTTCAGTGCTAAAAGCACAGATGTTCAGCTGGGTTCTGGATCACACCGTTTCCTTTACCATACCTCTATCAGTGAGCTGGCTGGCTGGCAGCTTTGCCCCTGCAGGCTGTGACCTCTCTGTGTGCTTCTACCTCTTCCCAAAATGCAGTAACTTTGCTTCGCTACTAGCCTATGCAGCTTGACCAGCCTTCTGATTTTCCTGTATTTAAACCTGATGCTCTTGTCATTGAGGGCCCTTATATTTATATAACAGAGGAAAATAACAATGAGCTCAGACCCACTGTGAATTATTTAGTTTATTAGCTTTTAAATTAATTACTTAGTTGATTAGTTTTTAAATTAATGAAATTAACATCACAGGTTTGGGGCGGGGGGTTAAGTTTTTCCTTAATCTAATCTAGAAATTGGCACTGAGGAGTACTATGTTTAGAACAGGGCAAAATTAGTAGAGAAGGACTAACAGCTATTTCTCACCTTGTTGAACTACTTAGCAGTGCAATGGGCATGTGAATGCATCAGCAAGAGATGTAATTTACAGTTTGGCTTCCCTTATGTGGGGAAGATGCTCTCTATTTTAAACTTATGTGTCATCTATTGAGTGACATTAAGTCATTCAAAATAGATCAAATTCTGGCCCAGAGGTGAGGTGCCACAAAAGTGTGCTTGCTTGGAAGTAGAAACTTTTGAAAGTGACTTTTACAGGAGCCTTGTCTTGAATCAAAAGCAGATCTGATGCACTTCCCAGAGGCTTGCTTTATATCAGGAAAACCAGCATTGCCAGGTATTTGTTCTAGCAATGAGGAAATCATCTGACTGCAGAAATGCTGCCTTGCTGTTTCTCCGAGATGAGCTCTTCAGCAAAAATGATGGAGGAGGAGGTGCCAGCAGCATCCTGGGACTCAGGCACGTCATAGGGGTTTGCAGAGACACTCTTCAAAGGCACCAAAGCTGCTGTGTCCTATTGGTGTTGTTAGAGCATCCTCTCTGGGGCCAAAACACTGACCCACTGATTTTACATATGTCACATCAATCTGGAGTAACTGACTTCAGTGAAATTCCTGCTGCATGTAACAGTGTGGCCAAAAGCAGGCTCTGGCTACAGCTGTCCCACTTCAGAGCTTATGAGAAGAGAGAAAATACACAAACTTCTTTTCTCACACTGGTAGAAGTAAGTAGAAATATTTTTTACTTGTACAGAGAAAAGCAGAATCTGTCCCTGCCAAAGTATGTGCTGCATTTCTGTGTGTCTACATGACTATATTACTCCCCTGTAGGTGACTTTTGGCACCTGGGACCCTTCTGAGTTATAATAGGAAAATGAAGATGGGGGGGGGAAGAGAGAGAGAAATAGCATTGCAATGATCCACTTGGTTATACCGGTACACCGTGCTGTGCGGGCTCTTGTTTTGCTTCAGTTTAAACATGTGCCTAAATGATTTATTTAAAATGAAACAGGCTTGGTTTAAATCCAAATAAGGGTGTATTTACCTCATCAAAAGACAGTGAGTAATGGCAGCTCATTTACTGCTTGTCAATCAGATCTGCAAAGATGATTTAAAAGGGAACATTTTCAGCAGTGTGACACATAAACATGGTCCTTTACTGCAGTTCAGTTGAGAAGAGGTCAGCCACTTGGGATGACCTGGCCCTTTCTGCAGACATACAGGAGAAGCTTCCTTAAGTGAATGAGACCAAGGAAGAAAAATGCTGAAGAGGGCACAGCCTGGTGTGCTGTAGAAGCTGTAGGTGGCTCTGAGGGATGTGCCAGGCTTGCAGTGCAGGGGGGAGGAGAAGAAAACAGGGAGATGTTTGAGGGGAAAAAATCTTCCCTTCCTCTCTGGCTTGTTCCCTCCTGGCAGAGTAAGGAAGTATCCTGAGCATCTGCTCCCTGCTACGCCTAGCAGATGGTGTGCCAGTCATGCTGTTATTTGGACCCTCCAGCCATTCCTCCTTCCCAGCTCCTCACAGTGGGCCAAGCGGTTATCAGGCTGGATATCCAATGGCTTGGGTCAAGAAGCAATCACTGTGGTTGTTGTACGCTCCCAAATCCAGGCCAGGCATTCCATCAGATGTCCAAAGTTAAGTCGCCTCTTTCTCCTGATGGTTAGACATCTTGAGAATTCAGTTTCCTGACAAGCATCTCTTAATTTCTCTGCTCATTTCTTGCATGCAGATGTTACCTCCAGCAGCCTTCTGACAGGAACTCACCAAACTCTTGAAAATAAATATTTGCAAGCCACCTGAGCCTCTCAGGTTCTTATTTTGAACCATGTTTTGTTTAAGAACAGTCATTACCATATCTTACCCAAACATCTAGCTAGTTCCAAAGTGTTCTTATCCCTAAAGTATTTTTTCACTTTTTCCTTAAAGAGAAAACAAAAGAGGAATCGGGGACTGCTTGTGAGGGTTTCTTATAGCTGTTTCAGGGCCAGTTTAAAGATTTTTTTGTTCTGATGTTTGCTATAGCTGAGCTGTACACAAATGCAGTGGATAAAAGAATGAAACAATGACATGCTGTACCACCTTATTTTGGTACACTTGAACTAATCCAAAGATATAAAAGGAAAGGCATTTTTAAGGATTCTTATGTCTGCAGTCATCCCAATTTTAGGCACAGGTTAGGTTGCCCTTCCACATTCATTCAGAAGGGATTATCAGAAAATTCAGCTTGTTCGAAGCTGATCGTGCTTGCAGATACCTGAACATTTTTCAGCATTGGATTAGAATGCCTACATGGTTTGGGGTCTGTACTCAGGTTAAATAAAACTGGTATTGCAGGGGTTTGCCTTTGGTGTGATTTTTCCACCGGGTAAAAATTTTCCTGTGCATTAACTCCCACAAGAAGAAACACTATACAAATTTGGTTTAGTATTCAAGATGGTTCTTGTGTAATTCTACCACCTTGTGCTCAGTGGTAATCTTTAAAGTCTTAGCAGGAAAGAAAGACCAACAGTCTGCCTTCTCCACCTATTGTGTAAGACTTATAGCACCGTAAACACATTTGGCCATAAGACCTTGAATGAGTGGGTTAGCAGCTAAGTCTTTGCATTAATGGAGTTTGGGGACAGTGAACAGTGCCCAAAATGGGCAGTGGCCTCTAGCTGTGCCCAGGAGGAGGTGATGGGCACAGGCCAGTCTGCACTCATGCCCTCATTATAAGCTTTTATTATGCTGCATCGTTACCTTGAACAATGATGGGCACCTTAGCTTTGACAAACCACTCCAGTTTTCTAAAATTGTGTAGAAATGCTTTTGAAATAGCTATTGCTATATTTATAATTGCTGCTGGATATTTGCCTTTGCATCTTGGGCAGTTTATCAGAATAACAAAGTGTGAAGCCTAGCAACAGATCTTAGTTTTAAGAGTGACCTAGAAAACAAATAATTACCCAATGAAGTCACTTGTGCTATGATGAGTTGATTGGCTCATCTCTATTAATCCCCAAAACTGGTCAGGTCTCACAATTTACTTGTAAGCCCAGCAATACTCAGGATGTGAACTGAAGCTCTGTGTCCTGAGAGCAAGTCATTACATGCAGATTTCAGTTTTGGAAAGGGAGGAGCACCGAAGGGTAGCTAATTTGTTTGAGTCCGCAGTTGCAGAGAAAAATGTGAGCACAATGAAGGCTCAGAAAGTATGAGATGAAAGAAAACAAGCTGGTATTTATTATTAAAAATATCTTATTGATGAATCAGTTTTGAGTGGGTGGGATTAGCACTGCTACCTAGCAGGGGCAGACAAAAGAAAAACATAAAAGGCAACAGAGTTGAGAAGAAATCCTAATACTTAAAAACATAGTGTGTAGGAGAATCTGAGAGACAATGTTTTTATTTTCCTCACTTGGGTTTAAAAAAGAATCAGGATGTTTAAACCTCCTAAAAACATTCTAGGTCGCACAGTGATGGTCGTGGTGGTACAGCAATGTAAATACAGCGCAAGAAAGTGAAGACGCCTTTATGTGAGAATTCAGCTTTATGGAAATAGCATTAAACTTTTGTTTTCACATTCATTTCATCTGGAAATGGTAAGTTGCAGCTACTGACATTTTAATGTGGGCATTTCTTGATAAATCCAGGAGGGAGGCACTGTTCTGAAGGCCACCAGCTCTTGAGCAGACCAGGAGCAGGAGACAGTTCTGGCACCTCAGCTGAGTGTGCCTGGGGCAGGATTTTAGGGATTGAGGTCCAGCGAAGGTCCCCTGCCAGGCCCAGGGCTACCTCCATGTCACTCACCCCCCTGGTGGGTTTCAAGGTATTCTGAACTGGTGCAAGATTCCCACCACAGAGCTGTAGTATGGTTTGAGTTGGAAGAAGAGGATTTTGTTAATTTACACCTCATTTATGTTATTTTTTTCTGCCTTCCTAGCGCATTGGCTATGGCATGTTAAGTCCCAGGGACACCTGGGTTGACGGATTAAAAGTAACTCTGAGGAAATACTACTGACCTTAAGTGACCCTCAGTGACACTCTGCCTATCTCTGTACTCTATTCTTCATCAGATGCACCTTCTCCCACTGAGGACACCTGTCAGAGGCATCTCTCAGTATCCAAATCCAAATCTGAACAATTCATGGTGAACTAACTACCTGGATTTTAATGATCCCTTTGGGGTGCAATACTAGAATTTACCAATGCAGCACATTTCTTGAAAAAAACCCAGCTGAAGTCTCAGGTTTCGCATTGAAGTTAGAAATGAGAAGGGAAAGCCAATGTGGCAGTTGCGCTCACCAGCCATCCCTCTTCTCCAACAGTCCATGACTGGGCCAGTGTGAGGCAGAGATGCTCTCCGTGTCCTTAGCAGCTGCCACCCTACCAGTTCTCTTAGGGGTTATGAGAAGAGAAGCGTATTTCAATAGTTTCACATGAAATGGGATTGCCAGGAGGTTTTACAGTTCCGCGGCCCTATGGGCCAAATCAACTGAGGGCAATGGTGTGTTTTGCACCAGTTGAAAATGAGGCAAGATCACAGGCAGCTCCAGGTAGTGCCTAAAAGTAACAGATGAGGATTTTAAATGAGCTTTGGCACATGCAGCTGACATGGTTTCAGAGGAACATAAAAACCTGACACTGTACTGATGCCAACATATCGAGTGGTATGTGAGTATTATATGGCTTAGGCTAACCAGATATTTATTTGCCATTAAGAATAAAACTTCCGTGAGGAATTCTGAAAATAAAAAGCGAAAGGCATTTCACATACACCCCGTAGGCTGAGGACATCAACTTGCTACTTCTTAGATCCAGGCGACCAAGTGTCACATCAGTGCTCCCAGGACAAATACATCCCTGCACGTGAGGTATGGGGAGCTCAAGGCAGTGTCATTGCCCTGGAGAAAAATCGGCCGGGGCAGTTTCATGACTAAGAGGCAGTATTCAGCCATTATACAGTTTATTAAAGGGATAAGGGTTTATATGTACCAGGACAGAATGATGAACACAGCCAGAAGTTGACAGTAGCTTGAAAAAAACCCACAGCTGCGAGCAAATATGTTGCTTTATGTTCTAGACATTGTGGAGTGCTCAAACACGTAATTGTTTTTATTATGTTTGGCATTTGCTTACCAGTTCATTACTGATTATTTTTGACACTGGAAGAAACTTGGAGCTACATTTGCTGCACTAAAGGAGGGTGAAGCAGCAGGGGAGCCAGGTGAGCTCTCCTCCTGACGGGAGGGGGAAGCAGTCGTCTCCCCCGGCCAAGTGTAAAGCAGGGGCACATTCACACCACTTTTGTGGAGCTGCTTAGGAGTTACAGTGGTCCAACTAAGAGAGGCATTTGGCTCCGTTCAGCCTTCATTATGTTTTAGAAATTAATACTACCCACGGTGGAGAAATGAGTATCACAGTTTCTGTGCCTTTGCCACCATACTTGCCCAATGGTGTAACCTGTAGCAACAGCTGATCACATTTTCCTACCTGACTGGCAATTCCTTTTCCAAGCAGTGTAGTAAAGTTGCCCAAGTATTACTGTATCACAACTATTTATGCCAGTTGAACATGCTGCGACATTTCCCTCCTTCTATCGGGCAGTCCAGCAGTACGTGAACGTGTTGTCCTGTGGATGTGCTTATTCTCAGGATGATGCTGGAGAACGCAGGTTTTGTTCCCTGTCGGTGGATGGAGAACTACGTGAAGCAGGAGCTGCAGTGGAGATGTGAAACACCAGAAACAAATGAGATACTGGCAGCTCCCGCTGTGGACTCGGGGGCTGACACCAGTACTTCTCACGTTAACCTTTTGTTCTTTCCATGCTGGTGTGGCCTACGATACCTTCCATTCTCGCAAATGGGAACCACCCCACCGAGGCCCTGACTTTGTCCCCACGCATGGCTGCTGTTCGACCTGCCTTCCACAGGACTGACCTTTTCATACTCCACTGCTTCGACGCCTCCTGACTTCCCACCACCCCGAAAGCACTCGTTAGCAAGGTGCTAGCCGCCGGGGATGTCTGCGTGGCGGTGCGTTCTGTGCTGCACTCTGGCTCGGGCTGCTTTAGGGTCAGTTTTTGACACGGTGGCTGGCAGGTCAGGCTGTTAAAGATCGCATTCAGCCC